TAAATTAGGTGCAAGTGCAATGATTTTCAATTACTTACTTCATATAAAATTCGTTATATCTACTTTCATATTTCAGAAAGAATCAATTCTCTATCGATTTTTACCACCTGAAAAATTTAGAAATAAAATATTATTAATGTATAAAGCAAATGTTTATAAATTTATGTATAAATTGTTAAAAAAATGCATCTTATGTATGTAAAATAGTAAGTTATCATTGCACTAGAAATCGCATTTAAAAAACATGAGAAAGTCAGATATATAAGTTACATAAGATAAGAATTGCTCCAAATCAGGGTTAAAGGTTTATCAAAATTTAAACGTGTACATATAAATAAGACACATAACTACTGTATCGGTAGTAACGCTGAAAGTTTGTAGTGAATACAATTTCAAGCAGAACAAAAGTGATCATGGCTTCACAAAAAATTGTTCGAAAAATAATATCCTCTTCATTGGCTCCAATACCTGTTGGTCCATACAAGTAAGCAGTACAACATTTATAGCATTATACATGAATGTTTTGCGTTTGTTTATGCGTATTTTATTGTTATTGATTTTTTAATAATCCGGCACAACAAATTTTATATTAACAGTCAAGCAGTACTTATAAATCGTACTGTGTATTTATCTGGAGTTCTTGGTGTTGATGTGAAAACTCAAAAACTTGTTGAGGGGGGTACAGTTGCTGAAGCTCGCCAAGCTCTAATAAATATGGGACACATTTTGAAAGAATCTGGATCAAGTTATGATAAAGGTTACACTTATTTATTGAATATACATGTATTATAAAAAATAAGAGATAACTTTTGCTTGAAGCATATAATTCCAATCATAACTTATAAAAATTGTATTTTCTTACAGTTGTTAAAACAACAATCCTCTTAAACAGTATAAATGATTTTGCTGGAGTAAATGAAGTTTACAAAGAATGTAAGAATAAATTTAATTCCATTAAATCTTATAGAAAAGATAAATTACATTTATCTCATATTATATTTGGTAATTATTTGCCTTTTTGTTTTGTAGTTTTCACAGATAACTATCCAGCACGATCCACATTTCAAGTTGGAAAATTACCTATGGTATGAAATAATTATTTTATATTTTGTGCAGTAAAGTTTACTAACTTTAATTACATATAATATTACAGGGAGCTCAAATTGAGATTGAAGCTATTGCTGTTACTGGGGATGTAGAAACAAAATTGTAACGTGAAAGTATTTCAATGTTATGTCAAGTATATTTTTTTCTAAGATCCAAACTAGTACTATTATGTTTTATACTAAAGTAAGTAAATATATGTAGAACGAAGTAGTGACATAAATGATGAATACAAAAATAAGTTTCTTTCTTTGTATGCTACTAAATATATTATTTTATAAGCAGTAAAATTAATGTTCTTCTTGATCTGTGACAATTTTTCTCATTTCATTGGTAACACGAAACATTGGTCCATGTCCAGGTATTATAAATTCTGCAATATTTATTACATACGATCTCCAATGTGATTGATCTTTTTGTAATTCCTCAGTTCCCAAGTCCCTCCATATTGAAGGATTTAAAATATCTTCTTCTTTTTCAAATAAATCTCCTGCAAGATTTGTTGCAACATTCAATTTCAATTACCTATAATAATTTTTATACTACTAATAACTCTGAGAAAACCTGTTATAGCATAGCAGGTAGATTTTTTAGACACAGTCCTTTGAGCTAGTACTGTGACATCTTCAGATGTATGTCCTGGAGTAGCTATGACTTTAACTTCTGGGCAAATTTCATATGCAGAATCTGCAAAATAATTATAATCTTCTGTATTATTTACATAATAAAAGTTAATTATAATCGTATCAGTGCATGTGGTAGAGACTACCATTTTCAAATTTTGGTCCAAAGAACATTTCTCCTCTGTGGACACAAGTTCCAATTATATGCTCAGCATTTAGAAAGAGATTATTGTTGCCTATGTGATCTGCATGACTATGAGTACAAACGACGTAATCAATTTCATCAGGAGTAATATTATGTCGATTAAGAGCTGAAATGACTATATTGTTAAATGACTATATTAAAAATGTTTTAAAAATCATACCTTGTATTATTTTGTCTTTATCCCAAGCTGTCATTGTATCAACGATCACATTCTTCGATGCTTTTATTAATGTGCAAGAACAATTTGCTTTCATTATCTCATTTTCAAGTTTTTCAGAGTAACCATCAAACAACACAATAACTTCACACATTTTTGCAATTCAAAATACAAATAACCAACCTTATTTTAAGAGGTTACAGTATCAATATTTACATGTAGGGGGTCCAAACATTTTCATCTTATTGTTGAGAATAATTCAAAGTTTAAGGAGATACAACATATAAAATGAAATTGGTAAATAAATTGGTATTATGATAACTTAAAATGTAATTTTATATAATATGAGAGAAGATATTTTTAATAACACCTCTTATCTTAACCTTAATTTATACAAATGTTTTTACTGTTGATACTGTTTCTACAAAAAAATTTTATTTGTTGTATTGCCTATCAAGTGAACCAACAAAACCATGTTTGGTATTAAGTTTTAAAGGAATTACACTAATGTTAGACTGCGGCTTAAACATGCAGTCTGTATTACATTTTATGCCAATGTCTTTGGTTCCTAGTTCAAAATTCAATTCATTATCATTCTGGCTTCCTCGTGATAATCATCAAGATTGGCAAATAGAAGGGGTTTGAATATTTATTTGTTTTAATTAACAAAAATGCGACAGCTCTCCCATAAAATTTAAATATTTACTTTTTAGGAGTTAAAAGAATGTTGTGGCAGAGTATTTGTAGATTCAACCCCAGAATTTTCTCCACCACTGGAGAAAATCATAGATTTTTCAGAAATTGATGCTATCTTGATATCAAATTATACTTGTATGTTGGCTCTACCATTTATAATACAAGATACTGGTTTTAAAGGCATTGTGTATGCCACAGANCCAAGCTCTAATAAATATGGGACACATTTTGAAAGAATCTGGATCAAGTTATGATAAAGGTTACACTTATTTATTGAATATACATGTATTATAAAAAATAAGAGATAACTTTTGCTTGAAGCATATAATTCCAATCATAACTTATAAAAATTGTATTTTCTTACAGTTGTTAAAACAACAATCCTCTTAAACAGTATAAATGATTTTGCTGGAGTAAATGAAGTTTACAAAGAATGTAAGAATAAATTTAATTCCATTAAATCTTATAGAAAAGATAAATTACATTTATCTCATATTATATTTGGTAATTATTTGCCTTTTTGTTTTGTAGTTTTCACAGATAACTATCCAGCACGATCCACATTTCAAGTTGGAAAATTACCTATGGTATGAAATAATTATTTTATATTTTGTGCAGTAAAGTTTACTAACTTTAATTACATATAATATTACAGGGAGCTCAAATTGAGATTGAAGCTATTGCTGTTACTGGGGATGTAGAAACAAAATTGTAACGTGAAAGTATTTCAATGTTATGTCAAGTATATTTTTTTCTAAGATCCAAACTAGTACTATTATGTTTTATACTAAAGTAAGTAAATATATGTAGAACGAAGTAGTGACATAAATGATGAATACAAAAATAAGTTTCTTTCTTTGTATGCTACTAAATATATTATTTTATAAGCAGTAAAATTAATGTTCTTCTTGATCTGTGACAATTTTTCTCATTTCATTGGTAACACGAAACATTGGTCCATGTCCAGGTATTATAAATTCTGCAATATTTATTACATACGATCTCCAATGTGATTGATCTTTTTGTAATTCCTCAGTTCCCAAGTCCCTCCATATTGAAGGATTTAAAATATCTTCTTCTTTTTCAAATAAATCTCCTGCAAGATTTGTTGCAACATTCAATTTCAATTACCTATAATAATTTTTATACTACTAATAACTCTGAGAAAACCTGTTATAGCATAGCAGGTAGATTTTTTAGACACAGTCCTTTGAGCTAGTACTGTGACATCTTCAGATGTATGTCCTGGAGTAGCTATGACTTTAACTTCTGGGCAAATTTCATATGCAGAATCTGCAAAATAATTATAATCTTCTGTATTATTTACATAATAAAAGTTAATTATAATCGTATCAGTGCATGTGGTAGAGACTACCATTTTCAAATTTTGGTCCAAAGAACATTTCTCCTCTGTGGACACAAGTTCCAATTATATGCTCAGCATTTAGAAAGAGATTATTGTTGCCTATGTGATCTGCATGACTATGAGTACAAACGACGTAATCAATTTCATCAGGAGTAATATTATGTCGATTAAGAGCTGAAATGACTATATTGTTAAATGACTATATTAAAAATGTTTTAAAAATCATACCTTGTATTATTTTGTCTTTATCCCAAGCTGTCATTGTATCAACGATCACATTCTTCGATGCTTTTATTAATGTGCAAGAACAATTTGCTTTCATTATCTCATTTTCAAGTTTTTCAGAGTAACCATCAAACAACACAATAACTTCACACATTTTTGCAATTCAAAATACAAATAACCAACCTTATTTTAAGAGGTTACAGTATCAATATTTACATGTAGGGGGTCCAAACATTTTCATCTTATTGTTGAGAATAATTCAAAGTTTAAGGAGATACAACATATAAAATGAAATTGGTAAATAAATTGGTATTATGATAACTTAAAATGTAATTTTATATAATATGAGAGAAGATATTTTTAATAACACCTCTTATCTTAACCTTAATTTATACAAATGTTTTTACTGTTGATACTGTTTCTACAAAAAAATTTTATTTGTTGTATTGCCTATCAAGTGAACCAACANTTTATTTGTTGTATTGCCTGTCAAGTGAACCAACAAAACCATGTTTGGTATTAAGTTTTAAAGGAATTACACTAATGTTAGACTGCGGCTTAAACATGCAGTCTGTATTACATTTTATGCCAATGCCTTTGGTTCCTAGTTCAAAATTCAATTCATTATCATCCTGGCTTCCTCGTGATAATCATCAAGATTGGCAAATAGAAGGGGTTTGAATATTTATTTGTTTTAATTAACAAAAATGCGCGACAGCTCTCCCATAAAATTTAAATATTTACTTTTTAGGAGTTAAAAGAATGTTGTGGCAGAGTATTTGTAGATTCAACCCCAGAATTTTCTCCACCACTGGAGAAAATCATAGATTTTTCAGAAATTGATGCTATCTTGATATCAAATTATACTTGTATGTTGGCTCTACCATTTATAACACAAGATACTGGTTTTAAAGGCATTGTGTATGCCACAGAACCGACACTACAAATTGGACGATTCTTTATGGAAGAATTAGTAGAATTTATTGAACAGACACCTAGAGCAACATTAGCTAAACATTGGAAAGAAATGTTGCATGTTTTACCTCCCCCATTAGCTGATGCTCTTAAACCAAAATCTTGGAAACACGTGTATTCAATGGTAGCAGTTAATAATGCTTTATCAAATATCCAAACAGTTGGATATGATCAGAAATTAGTAAGTAAATAAAACAAGATTATTAGTTTGAGGCAGATTTTTATTAAGTTTTTACAGGATATATATGGTGCATTAACAGTTACTCCCATAAGCTCTGGATATTGTTTGGGTAGCAGCAACTGGTTAATATCATGTGATCATGAGAAAGTTGCATTTGTCAGTGGATCATCAACGTTAACAACTCATCCACGACCTATGGAACAGGCTACATTAAAACATGCCAACTTATTAATATTAACAGGTTTAACTCAAACACCCACTGCTAATCCAGATACAATGCTTGGGGAACTTTGCATGACCGTTGGTATGTATCGGAAGTTTTGTTCTTGTGAGTAATTTATATTTTTACTAAGTAGAATGTTTCAGCAATGACTCTCAGGGCTGGTGGATGTGTCCTAATACCCTGTTACCCTTCTGGCGTTGTGTACGATTTATTTGAATGCCTTAGTACCCACTTAGATAAGTCAGGATTTTCACAAGTCCCTCTATTTTTTATATCACCAGTAGCTGAATCATCTTTAGCATACTCAAATATATTAGCTGAATGGTATGTATTGCATATCATAATCTATTATATATATATTATTTCTTTCAATGTGATTTCAGGTTGTCAACAAATAAACAAAATAAAGTTTATCTTCCTGAGGAACCATTTCCACATGCATTCCTTGTTAAAAATGCTAGATTAAAACATTTTACATCTACGTATGCAGAGGGTTTCAGTTCTGACTATAGACAACCTTGTGTTGTCTTCTGTGGTCATCCTAGTCTTAGATTTGGCGATGCAGTCCATTTTGTTCAGTTGTGGAGTAATAATCCACTACATACAATAATTTTTACAGGTATATCTTGTTTAGGATGTTATATGTTTATTCTATGAATTATGAATTAATGGATGGTTCTTTCAGAACCAGATTTTCCATATCTGGATGCACTAGCACCATTTCAGCCTTTAGCTATGAAAGCTGTACATTGTCCGATAGATACATCTCTTAATTTTACTCAGGCTAATAAATTAATTAGAGATTTAAAACCAGAACATTTGGTAATACCTGAATGCTATACACAACCACCTATAACAGCACTGCACAGGACAGATCTTGTAATAGAGCCTGTTGGTGTAAGTTTGAATATCTTTTAATGCAATTCTATTGATATACATTGTTTTGAGTATTAACTCTGATCGATACATGTTTTTAAGGAGAAGCCTTTAATTACCTTCAAACGAGGTGAAGTAATCAAATTACCTTTAAAAAGGAAAAAGGGGCGAGTATTTATTGAACCCGAATTAGCTGGAAACATAATACCAAGTGAAATTCGACCTGGCTTGAGTCTTGCTTCTATTACTGGTGAATTGGAAGTTAAAGACAACGTGTACACAATAAAGGTATATACTTATAAAATATAAATAAGCATATGTTTCTATCATAAATTAAAAAACCATGTTTACAGAGTATCGAAGACAGACCATGTGGAAAGCGTAAAGCTTCGTCCGGCTCACCTGCTCCAATCAAGGAGGAAGTTTTGAAGGAAAGAAAACATGAATATGGTAACGTGGATCCGCAAGAGTTACTTCAAAAACTCAATCAAGAAGGCATCCTGGGTGCCAAGTTACAACATAGCCCAACTGCTACCAGTATTCACTTGGTAAGAGACATTTGTATTAAAATGTAAAAAATGTATTTTATTTAGATACGTTCATGGGCCATTTATATTTATAGCAAGATGAAGATACTTTAATTCAAATAGGAGACAATTCAACACATATATTTTGTAATGGTGATCAAAAGATTAGAAGACGATTAAGGGTTATGATAATGCAGTGCCTAAAGAGATTTTAATAGAACAATTAAGTAACATCGAATAATGACTATTTTATATGATGTAACAATTTTATTATAATTTATTTTTCTACATCATTGGAATCATCGTTAATTTAATACCCTTGAGAATGTGTGTTTAAACATCTGGGTTATTAATAAGCATAATTTACTTTCGGAGTTATTTATAACTATGCCCTGTACATATACAGACATTGTGTTATACATAATATCTACAAACCCACATATAATTAATGTGACAACATTATACGATTCCGGTATTCATTACGATATTTTATGCAGTAGCATATATAAATTTAAAAGTGTAAAATTCGATAGAGATTCTATCTTAACGAAATAATAATACCTTTCAACAAAATGTATCTACCTCATCAGGAAACATATAACTGAAGTATAAGACCATGCGATGCTGAGAACACATTGTACTTATGAAATCAAAACTTTCTTTTCTAGTGTCAATTATGACACTATATTTTTTCATTTAATGTACGTGCACAGTTTTTATTATGAGTACAAAACTCTCCAAAACGTATAGCTTATCTAGTACATTGAATAGCAAAAAAAAGCTTCTTGTAATTCGGTACTATTTAAAAATCGTTTAAATATACAAGAACATAATACAAAATAATAATTATTTCGTTTGTCTTTTTACGAATATCTACTGTGATATAATCCAATAAAGATGATGACTAAAACTGACTGCATTCTTGTGTTTGCTGCATTCTGAATGAGTGTAAACTTGGTAATCATCTATATATTGTGAGACGTTTCATGTTATCTATGTGTTTGTGTATTAATGAACATTTGTGTGAATAATACATTATTTTATGTCGATGGATTTTAGATTCACAGAATCTTATAAATCGTAAAAGTTTCCTATTGAATTTGAGACATACAAATATTTTACTATTAATTTTTTATCTCTTTTGTGAATTTTTATATTCAAGCCAACAAGAAAATTTGTGCTGATAGATGAAAAAAAATTATCAACTTCAAATATAAAGGAAGTACATTGTTGTAACTTTCATTTGTCTGTTGCTTCTGTTAACGTCACTATGAATTGATTGTTCACTGTTAATATCAAGTTTTGATGATTAGTATAATTTTTTGGATGAGCACATTGCTTCTTTACTTGCATTCAGAGTGCAGCGTTTATAAACCTAATTACCAGTAGCTATGCCAATTGCTAAACCGGCTACGAAAGACGTGATGAAAAAATGGAATTCTTTAGGTCTGAAAGTGGTATCGCCAGTAACAGAGTGGTACCAGCGTCGTGTACGAGATTCTCCATTTTTCAACAATTGCTCGGCTTTATCTAACTTTTTGTCAACGAATCTCTCGACCTGAAACAATAAATTCTTTTACTAAATAGATTATTTATCTCTATAATTTACAGGGGAACATGCACATATATTTCTTAATCCAATACAAATTTACACAAAGGACTATCAAATAAATTTCATAAGACAAAAACAAAAAATGTGAACAAACTTCACAGTATTCGATTTATTTTACGATGTAACTTAAATGTCTTTACAATACTTCAATATCTTTTAAATATTGTTTTAGAAAAATCGATGCATAAATTTGTATATACATGTTAGGCATAACAACAAAGTATTTTTAATACAAAGTATATACACATTTTGAATGCATGTTCATGTTTTTTAGAAGCATTAAACACATAAGCTTACATATATATATATATATAAAATGGAGCAGTTTAGTTGTTAAAAATTTAAACAATCTTGCTAATGTGACTGTCAAGTACTTTGTTTTCTCTAGTGAAACATCAGCAAAAACGGAAATTATAACTAATATACAAG